GTTTTTCAAGTTATTTGATTGATTGGATCAATTTGTGTATGTGATTGCTTGTGATGTGCTGAATGTGATTCGCACATGGGCCATAAGTACTTGGCCCATGTTTAATCGTTAGTGGCTTTCTTCGAACACCATGGATGAATGCACATCATTGCCACGGTGTCCTAAAGAGGAACATACGGAACCCTAGCCCATTTTGGGCCCATTTGAATCTGACTTTATGAAAGTCAGTGGGAGACACGTTGGTTTGACCTAAATCAGATATAGGAACATATCAATTAGTTCCCTCCAGTTAATATAAGTGCAAGTGATAGGGAATTTCATATGATGAATTCTCTAAAGGCCTTCTGTCATTAGCATGAAGATGGGTTGAATTGGCAATGAGGAGATGCACCATAAAATTGGGCTATTCATTTGATGGTCTAGTTTGTTGGATTGCTTCATAAGATGATAGGGGCGTCATAGACCGATGTGGGAGGGGCCTATCCTAAAATGGAAGACTCTATCACGGTACCTTAGGGTCCACAATGTGATGGGTCAGCACTTATTGGACTGAAATTTTTAACCTAAAATGGTAATGAACCTTGTCTAGTAGAGGCCAAAGGGAAAGCTCATTAGATAAGTAGATATGATCCTTCATAAAAAGTGGTGGGGTTTTGTAGCTGAAACAGTTGGCTCCATGCACCTATGTGATTTCCCACATTTCCAAATGCATAACCGTGTCTCCATCACTGAGATAGGAAGGAAATCTCAGAGACGAATAAATGGAAATGGAACATAGATAAAAGACCTTTCTATGTAGTTAACATGAATCAATTTTATATCATGGACTAATTTGTGTTGCCTTTTATCAGAAATGGCAAACGGACAATTCGCCAAGTTATTGGATGATAACAAGCTAAATGGACCCAACTATGCTAACTGGTTTCATAACCTTGTGCTGGTTCTAAAGTCTGAGAAATTGGACAAGGTTACCAAAAATCCTACACCGGAACATCCGGGTGATAGGGCTTCCGAGGCCCATAAGAAAGAGTATCAGGAATGGGAGGAGAAGAACTCTCTTGCTCGGTGTTATATCGAAGCATCTATAGACAATCAGATATAGAGACAATTTGATAAGATCGAAGTGTCCAAAGATATCATGGATAGTCTAAAGATAATATATGAGGAGCAGAATTGTCCTACCTGTTAAAAGGTCCTCAAACTATTGATGACCACACAAATGACTGAGAGCCAACAGGTCCATGGCCATTGTTTAAAAATGATGGGCTATATCAATGAACTGGAGRCTTTTGGTTTTCAACTAAATGAGGACACTAAAACTGATGCCTTAAACTCTCTGCCTCCCTCATTCAATTAGTTTGTAATGAATTACAACATGAACAAGCTAAACGTTAGCCTTCAAGAACTCAACAATGTGTTATAGAGGTCCAAAGAATTGACAAAGAAGGATAAGCCGATAGCCATGCTTGTTGAAGGTGGCAAGTCAGACAAGAAAAAGAGGAAGGCTAAGAAGTAACCTCAGAGGAAAGCAGTCAAGCCTAAAAAGCAAAAGAAGGACAAGGCATCAGATGCATGTCACTTCTACAAGCAGACCGGACACTGAAAGAGCAATTGTCCTCAATATCTGGAGACCAAGAAGAAAGAAGGTAATTTCAAATCTCTTGTCATAGAGACCAATATATTGGTCACTTTTGCATCCTGGTGTATTGACTCCGGGGCTTCTACTCATGCATGTAACACATTGCAGGGGTTCAAAATAAGTAGAAGGCTGAGTGACAATGAAGTGATGCTTTACTTGGGACTTTTGCAACAGTTGTAGCTATACCCATAGGAATTATAGATTTAATTTTTAGAGAAGGAATTGTTAGGCTTAAAGATTGTCTTTATGTACCTACTTTGAGAAGAAATCTGATTTCTGTTTCAAAATTGTGGAAAGATGGTTATTCTCTTTTGTTTAATAATACGATTACTATTAAACTGAATAACAAATTTCTCACTTACAGAGAACTTGAGAATAGTCTCTATGTCCTCCGTCCTTCTCTGGAAACAAACATAASCAAAATTACATAAGAAATTATCCCCAAGAAAAGAATGCGTGATACAGTTAATCCCACGTGCCTATAGCATTACCGACTTGGCCACATTAATATAGATCGTATCACAAGGTTGGTAAAAGATGGTCCTTTGGATTTTCTAACAGTAGAATATCTTCCAACTTGTGAACCTTGCCTTTAGGGTAAGATGTTGAAACAACAATTTATGAGGAAGCCTAAAGGATCTATGGGCACACTTGACCTGATACATGCTGATATATGTGGTCCCATGAATGTTAGGACACGTAACTAGCATGCTTATTTTATAACCTTTATCGATGATTATTCTCAATATGGTTACATGTACCTAATGAAACATAAGTCTAAATCCTTTAAAAATTTCAAGGAGTTCAAGCAAGAGGTTGAGAAACAGTTGGAGAGAYAGATTAAGGCCCTCCAATCAGATCAAGGAGGCGAATACCTCTCCAACGAATTCAGGGACTACTTAAAGGACAATAGGATTGTATCACAGTTAGCTCCTTCTGCTACACCACAATTAAACGATGTATCGGAGAGGAGAAATCAAACTCTATTAGATATGGTCTGTTCACTTCTCGTCCACTCAGAACTACCTATATCCTTTGGGGATACGCATTGGAGACTGTGATATACATGCTAAACCGAGTTCCAACCAAATCCGTTCCTAAGACTCCCTATGAGCTTTGGACTAGTAAGAAGCCAAGTGTAAGACTCTTGAAAATTTGGGGTTGTCTGGCACATGTTAAAAAAACAAGTTCTGATAAATTGGAATCCAAGACCAGTCGTTGCCTATTTGTAKGCTACCCCAAAAGCTTTGCAGGTTTCTTATTCTCTGACCCAAGAGAGGAAAAGGTGTTTTACAGTTGAAATGCCTATTTCTTGGAAGAAGATTACATCTTGGATAATCATCTTCAGGAAATTGTTCTTGATGAGGAGAGCCCAGGAGTAGTGGGAGATATCCCACAAGTTCCAGATAATACGACTATGATCAAGAAAGTTACTTTATGGAAGCCATGATTAGTGAGGAAGATCCCATGACTTATACGAAAGCTATGTTGGACATATATTCTTGAAGTGAGTAGATGTCATGAAAACCAAGATGGACTCAATGAAAACTAACAAGGTCTGGACTCTCGTAGACACACCCCCTGAGATGAAAGCAATTGGTTGCAAATGGATCCACAAGAGGAAGAAGGGTCTTGATGGGAAGATTAAGACCTATAAATTTCATCTTGTAGCGAAGGGGTACACTTAGAAAGAGGGAATCGATTATGAGTAAATCTTTCCGCCAGTGGCCATGCTTAAATCCATATGAATATTGCCAGTTGTAGTAGCACACTATGCCTATGAGATTTGGCAAATGGATATCAAAACTGCCTTCCTGAATGGAGATCTTTGGTGTGCTGTCGTAGGCACCCAAAAATAAAACCTATACTCGTGAGAATAAAATGTAGTAGTGCGAGTAAGAATCGTTCCCACAGAGAGTATCTAACCTGAATTATGTGCTACGTGAATCAAAGATGGAGGGGGGTGTGTAACGAAAACTAGATTTGAAAGAAAGAAAATCGGGATTAAAGAGAACAAAATTTAAATGGGAAGCAAGGTAATTTAGAATGTTGTAATTAACCAAAAGAGCAAATCTTGGTCTAGGATAACATCCACCATCAAAATTTCACTACTACTCATCGATGCAAAAATAAATCAATTCAGACTTTGAATATTCATCATAGGAATTATTTTTCTACATCTTCCTAATATCAGTTAATGGGAAAATAAGTGATCCTCTTAACCCTTATTACTCAAAACAGGAAAGTTGTAGAACTTTTCCTTATCTTTCCAATGCATCTTGAATCATCTCAATCGGAGTCCGGATGAGAGAGTTATGCTCAATCTACCACACGGCGCCGAAACTGTGTAAAATGACCCGATTAGCCTTGTTTCTCACCTAAGGCCTTCTTTTGTGCCTTAAACCAAAATATAAGAATTATGAATGTATTTGGGCATAAAATAAACATAAAAGGCTAATTATTAAGGGAGAAAAATATGATATTTTTCGTTCTCATCAAATCCCCCAACTCTTAGACCTTGCCCATCCTCAAGCAATACAGAACTTAAGCAAACTAAGCAAACTATTCTACCAAACTTTAAACTCAATCTTCCTTCATCTTTTTCCATAAATATTCTAGGTTAATTGTTGCAAACCATTAAATCAACACGACCAAGTTATACACGACTCAACCATCCACCAATCCAATTTCTTTACTACTACAAACCAGGTAGTAAACTAGGTAAAACATTTTTTTTTGGTGGAAGTGAGTGCATTTTATGCTCCATCTCACTTTTAGGACTTAGTCAGTGGGTGCATTTTATGCTCCACTCCACTGTTTGAATTTCTAGCTAGTAGGTGCATTTTATGCTCCATCCTACTATTGAATTGCTTGGTTGGTAGGTGCATTTTATGCTTTGTCCTACCAATTGTAGCAATGGTAAAATATTTACCCTATTTACTTGAACCTGGATTTAGGACTAGCTTAAAAAGGGGATGGCTTTAGGTGAATCCTGTATTCCCTAATCATATTTCTTTACTAAGTTCACAAGAGTTGCCCCAGAACACTGTTTCAATTGATTCCAAAAGAGTTGAGTTTTTTTTTTTGAACAAATGCAGAAAAACACAACCTAAATTAAATTTTAAAATGCAACCTAAATTCTAACCTAAATCCCCTCCCCCACACTTAAAACTTACATTGTCCCCAATGTAGGATAAATTGCAAAGAAAGGGAAGAAACAACTAAACCATAAATGCAAAAACAAAAAAGAAGAGAAAAAGAAAAAATAAACTTCCCTATTTTTAATCACCATAAACTGGATCCTCTAACTCTTGTGGTTACAACTTTCGGTGCTTTCCCCTTCCATCCATCATGGGTGGATTCAGCCTTCTTTGTGGTTGACAAGAGGTTTTTCTTGCTCTTCAAGTAAGATGCGATGCATGCATGTAGATGGGTTGATTCCTTTGATATCCATAATCGTCCAACCGATAGTCGTCTTATGCTCCGTAAGAACCTGCACAAGCTTCTCTTCTTGTGGTGCGCTAAGGCTACTAGACATGATCACCTGTAATGTCTCTCTGTCTCCAAGGAATACGTGCTTGAGGTGATTAGGGAGAGGCTTCAATTCTGGAATGGGGGCCTGCAAAACAAAGGGTAAAGGTCTCCTATCAAAATTCGACAATATAACATAAGGAGCATTACCTGACTGTTGTAAGTCTGGAGAATCATCCAATGCTGCAACAGTTTCCTACAAATCAGCTTTCAGCATTGGCTCCTCTTTCTCAAGATGTTTAATAATGGAGACTTCTAATCCATCATTTTCATTAAGTTCGAAGACTTCCTGTGCCAAAGAATCAATCGCATCAACAGAACAAATAGGATTATCATCAGTAGGATAATTCATGGCATCATAAATATTAAACTTAACAATCTGACCATCAAATTCCTTGGTGAGTGTGCCACTATAAACATCTATTTTAGTCTGATGTTTTTAAGAATGGTCTTCCTAGCAAAATAGGAGTGGTTTGATCACCATTATCCATATCAAGCACATAAAAATCAACAAGAAAAACCAAATCATTTACTTTCACAAGAACATCCTCAACTACACCCTTAATATAGGCATTAGATCTATTAGCCAATTGAATCACTACACCGGTCTTATTCAAAGGTCCAAGTTTCAAAGAAGCATATATAGAATATGGCATGGCCTTCTCAATTCTAATGTTACCTATCATGGCCTTAATAGAAGCTCCTAAGTCTAACATGGCCTTCTCAATTCTAATGTTACCTATCATGCAGGGGATAGTGAACATACTTGGATCCTTGCACTTTGTAGGGAGTTTTCTTTGAATAATTGCAGAAACATTCTCCCCTACTCTCACCTTTTCACATCCTTTTAGTTTCTGTTTCCTTTTATGTGTACATAATTCTTTCAGGAATTTAGCATAATGAGGTACTTGTTAAGAGCATTAAAAAGGGGCATATTTGCCTCGTATCTACGGAAAGTTTCATAAAAATCTTTGAACTGCTCATTTTTCCTAGAACCTGCTAAAGCATTAGGAAAAGGAAGTACTGATTTATAATCAGAAAGAGGAGGAAACTTACGCTTGGGTACTTCATCACCATCGGGAGTGATGTCTTTCTCCTTTTCTTGGTTTGACAATGCGGGGGCTGCCCTTGCTGGTGCCTCAACCTCTTTACCACTTCTCAAAATGATTGCACTTACATTTTCTTTTGGCTTCACAACCATTTGAGAGGGTAATTTCCCAGAACTTTGCGCCTCTAACCGACTAATCGCCGTCGCCATTTGGCCCATCTGATTGTCCAAACGTTGGATACTAGCCCTTGTCTCATGCTGAAATTGCAAAGTCTTAGTGGCAAGAGATTTGACAATATCCTCTAAAGACATACCTGAATCAGAATTTTGGGTTGGCTGTTGTCTAGGGGGGTGCGGCTGATATTGCTGGAAAGTCAGATGATATTGCAGGAAACTTGGGTGGTTCTGTGGATTCCCATAGCTAAGATTGGGGTGATCCCTCCATCCTGGATTATATGTGCTCAAATAGGGATCATATTTCCTTTGCGGTTGTCCTGGAAAACCACCTACTACATTTACTTGCTCAACAGGCTCCTCTTGAAGAGTTGGGCACATATCAGTTGGATGCCCTACTACTGAACATATCCCACAAGCCTTCACCGTTTGCATTTTACCTACAGCCATTTGATGAACAAGAGAAGTCAGACTTGCAATTTGTTATTCTAGGGAAGAGATATTTACCTCATTAGCATGCTTTGATGGAGGGCCAAGTCTATAGCCGAACAGTTGAGAATTGGCGGCCATGTTTGCAATCAGATTTCTCACGGCCTCGGGGGTTTTATCCACTAAAGCTCCTCCACTAGCAGCATCAATCATGCTCTTATCAGTGGGTTGAAGACCCTCATAGAAATACTGGATCAGTAGCTGCTCACTAATTTGATGATGGGGACAGCTTGCACATAACTTCTTAAAGCGTTCCCAGTATTCATGTAGGGACTCCCCGTTGTATTGCTTTATACCACAAATTTCTTTTCTGATATTGTCTGCCCTTGAAGCTGGGAAGTACTTTTCTAGGAATAACCTATTCATCTCGTTCCATGTGATAACACTCCCGGAAGGTAGATAATAGAAACAATCCTTAGCTGAATCTTTTAGAGAAAACGATAAGGCTCTCAATTTGATTTGCTCTTCAGTTACCCCCATGGGTTTCATGCTCGTGCATACCCATGAAAAATGGGTAAGAGATGTATCAATCCAGATTTTAATTCAAAATTAACATCAGCATCTAAAGCAGGAAAAGTTATGCATAAGGGTTGCTGATTTAAATCAGGTGCAGCAAGCTCTTTCAAGGTTCGATTTTCGGCCATGATGTCCTCTTCCCTCAAATCAGATCTGCTAATAGATAGAGAATCGAAGGCTGGATCGTTCTCCTCAAAATGACTCCAAGCTTCCCTCCTTAACCTGTGTAAAGTCCCTTCTATTTTCAGATCGAACTGCAAATTACCTTTCTTAGAGAATCGGGTTACAGGCATAAATTAAGGAAACCCTAATAAACCATGAACAACATACCATAAAACAAATAAAAATAAATAAAAAAATCTAGAACGATTAAATAAATAAATAAATGAATAAAATAGAAAATACTCTACTCTAAAACACAAACAATCAAAGTGATCTCTAGAGTATTTTTTTTTTCGAAAATTCAAAAACAAAATAATGATCACAAGAAGCACAAAAATAGATTAGAAAAACTATCCAACAACAGTGCCAAAATTTGGTGTGCTGTCGTAGGCACCCGAAAGTAAAACCTATACTCATGAGAATAAAATGTAGTAGTACGAGTAAGGATCATTCCCACAGAGAGTATGTAATCTGAATTATTTGCTACGTGAATCAAAGATGGAGGGGGTGTGTGTGTAATGAAAACCAGATTTGAAAGAAAGAAAACCGGGATTAAAGAGAACAAACTTTAAATGGGAAGCAAGTGATCCTCTTAACCCTTACTACTGAACAACCCCTAAACAAGTATTAAAGATTTAATCCATCAATAGCATTAAGCATTAGAGATCAATGAAACTAAACAACACAAGCACAAGCGGTTGCATTTAATTCAGTTGAGTGTCCTTCCTAGGATCTAACAATTTCTGATGCAGCAAATCATTAAACCCTAGTTGCTTCATAGATTAGAGAGACCAAACAATTACATATTTGATGTCTAATCTAGCAATAGATTATAATGAATAATAAACTAGTAGGCCTTCCAAGCATTCACACGAAACAATCATAGATATAAACATAGAAGAACATTTGATATCCAAAGCATGAATTAAAGAATAAAAACCAAATTAGATCTCACAGTTTGGTGGATTCGAGGTTTCTGCTTCCTTCGACCAAGTACAAGAGTTTAGCCACACATGGTCATGGTGAAAACTCCAAGAAAATCAGAGAATGAAGAAGAGGGGCGAAGAGAAGAGAAGAGAAGAGAAGAGAGGTTCGGTTGCTCCCAATCTGCTTGCCTTCTCTCTAGGTTTTTCTCCTCTTATCTACTTCCCCCAAGAGAAGCCTACAAAACTTCCTAAATTTTCTCTAGATAAAAATCTACAAGTCTGAATTATCAAGAAAAGACTCAAAAATAAGATAAAACAAAGTTCTTGTGTGAGTGGGAAAGTGGTGAAATCGCGGATTAAAGCTTCAAGGCTAAGGAATGTCTTCAACACGTCACCAGTGCAGTTGTAGAGAATTTGAGCCAGAATCTATCAAAACTCAAAACAGTAAAGTTGTAGAACCTTTTCTTAACTTTCCAACACATCTTGAATCATCTAAATCGGAGTCCATATGAGAGCGTTATGCTCAACCTACCACACGGCGCCGAAATTGTGTAAAATGACCCGATTAGCCTTGTTTCTCATCAAACACCTCCTTTCGTGCCTTAAACCAAAATATAATAATTATGAGTGCATTTGGGCATAAAATAAACATAAAAGGCTAATTATTAAGGGAGAAAAATATGATATTTTTCATTCTCATCAAATTGAAGATATCTATATGAAGCAACCGCAAGGTTTCATTGTTGCTGGTCAGAAGCACATGGTGTGTAAATTTAACCAATCCATCTATGGACTTAAGAAAGCATCTAGAATTTAGAACATCTGATTTGACTCTACCGTCAAATAGTTTGACTTTAAACAAAATTTTGATGAGCCTTTTGATTATAGGAAAGTAGAGGGAAATAAGGTTAGGTTCTTGGTTTTGTATATAAATGGCATTCTACGTGTTGGGAATGAGTATCCCAATCTACATACATTCACAAGATTGTCAAAAGATACAACATGGAGAATTTCAAGAAGGGATTTGTCCCTTTTAGACATGGAGTCACTCTCTCCAAGGGTATGTCTCCCAAGACTCCTGAGGAGATTGAGGGCATAAAGGAAGTTCCCTATGCCTCACCAGTAGGGAGCATCATGTTAGACAGTGTATGCCCTTAGCTCCAATCAGAATGATGTACATTCTGACATTTAATGTAAATGAATAAAGTACATATTTGATTCGTGTTATTATGGTATGTTTCTGTGTAATACCCATAAACTGGACACATATGAGACTCGTGTTAGTTTAGAATCTTTACAGCCGTTGCATAGATCTGGAGAGATTTATCCTGCCAAGGCTAACATTAATGTGCCACCAAGTTGGTTGGGGTGGCTTGTCTCAGCGGCCAGGGTGAGACCTGAGGTACATGCAATGTGGGTTTCTTGAAACCTTGAACCGGACCAGAATTCAAGTATTGCCCGGGACCTTGGAGATAGATGGGCAAAACTGGAATGATACACCTGACCCCTAGACTCGATTACGATACTACACTAGGTGTCGGATTGGGTTGTCTTTGATATGCCAATTAGTGAAATCCTTATAGGGGGTCAAAACCTGGGTATGTTGGGACAGCCCGAGAATTCATCTGAGTGGGTGATCATAGTGATACGATCAGACCCTTTGTCGGACAAAGTGAATGATTGGGGATGCACTCTCTCTGATGGAACCTAAACTGCCGGCAGTTGATTTCAACCATTGAAATATATATATATATATTACAGTTTCAAAATGTTTGCAAAATGTTTTAATTCCCGGGATCCATATGAGTAGAGAGTGCAGCACTATACCATGTAGCCGAGGGAGAGGTCCTCTCTTGTCGGGCAGTATTTGATCATTATGGGCTGAGAGGTTAAGTGTAAGACCATTGAGGGTAATACCTGATGGGCTAATCTTACATCTGCCCACAGTGCTTGGGTTTTATAAGGTGGATTGACCCAAAGACCATTTAGTGTAAATGTTGGGTCCATTAAGAGCCCATGGTGATGGACTCAAGGTTCACTGTCTTCTACAGTGAATTCGGCCAGGCTGAACCCATGTGGCTGATGTGTAGATCAATGTTTGGGTCCCATGCCATACAAGAATATCCAATTGGGCAGTAGTTTGAAGGGTAAGTGAGCAGACAGACTTAATGGGCCTAAAGCCCAAATGGAACTGGCTTAATGAGATTAATTAAAATTGGGCGATTATGGGATTTAGATCAGCAGATAGGATAAGGGATTGTCCCTATCCACTCAGAGTGTCCAGATCCAAATAAAGATTTGGATTAGGAAACTCCTAATTAGATTAGGAGGGTTGATCTTTATTTGTAGATAAGATAAGGGATTATCCTTATCTCTTAAAGAGAGTCCAGATCCAAATACAATATTTGGATTAGGAAACTCCTAAAGGGATTAGGAGAACCTCTCTTAGAGGCTATAAATAGCAGAGCAGGGCGAACCCTCAAGACACAACAGAAATCATCTGATTGATTGCTGATTTCTAGAGAGAGACAACACAGTTTGACTGCACTGTCTCCTTCTCTCCTGCTCTTGCCGCCATACCAGTTCGATCTCCACCTGTGGGAGCGATCAAGAAGAGTTCTTGATATTACCTTTTGGTAGAAAAGGTAATCTGAAGTCGTGCTCACTAGCCCTCCATCAGACTCTTGCTGAAGAATCCGGTTCTTGTTGAAGAACCATCCTACTGATTCTGCTTCATCTTGCACCGAGTCATCTTTGGTAGAAGCAGACTTTGTTGGACAGTTTTGAAAGCCATTAGCTCTAATCAGTTTTGATGTACATTATGACATTTAATGTAAATGAATAAAGTACATATTTGAATCGTGTTATTATGATGTGTTTTTGTGTAATACCCATAAACTGGACACATATGAGACTCGTGTTAGTTTAGAATCTTCATAGTCATTGGATAGATCTGGGAGATTTATCCTGCCAAGGCTGACATTGATGTGCCACCAAGTTGGTTGGGGTGGGTTGTCTTAGCGGCCAGGGTAAGACCTGAGGTACATGCAGTGTGGGTTTCTTGAAACCTTGAACCGGACCAGAATTCCAGTATTGCCCTGGACCTTGGAGATAGATGGGCAAAACTGGAATGTTAGACCTGACCCCTAGACTCGATTACGATACTACACTAGGTGTCGGATTGGGTTGTCTTTGATATGCCAATCTGTGAGATCCTTAGAGGGGGTCAAAACCTTGGTATGTTGGGACAGCCCGAGAATTCATCTGAGTGGGTGATCATAGTGACCGGATCAGACCCTTTGTCGGACAAAGTTAATGATTAAGGATGCACTCTCTCTGATGGAACCTAAACTGTCGGCAATTGATTTCAA